TAGGTAGTTCGGGACTGTCCGACCGAGATCTGTCCATCCCGAGATCAATCAGCAGCACACCAGTTTCAAAAATTTAAATTGTAAAAAACTGAAATGAAATGACAAACTTATATACATCATTCCTTCAAAACTCTGACAGAATCTTGTTGATTTTAGATTTTCGTTTCATCGCTTCATCCATCATTCACTCGCCCATTCCTTCAAACGTTCGTTCCTTGGCTCACTCACTCACACACACAGTCAGTAGTTGCTGATTCAATGGATTTTTGTCTGTAAATCTCAGTTCATTTGTTTGTTTATCTGTTGGTTTCTACAAAAATGAATGTAAATAATGAATTGAAAAAAAAGAAAATAACGAAAGCAAGAAATAAAATTTGCAAATAAAATAGTACAAGGTTAATCCTTTCTATCTACTACATATTGTATGTCCTTTTACAAAAGTGGGGGGTATTTGCTTTCATTTGTATATAAGTGTATGTTTTTGGTAGAGTGTATTTTAGTTACTACTACTAACTTTAAGTAAAAGGAAGTGTTTTTTTTTTTCATTTGAGTACAAATATGTAAATGTGTTTGAGAGTGTATATTTTTGCTTAAGTGTTGTGCTTGTGTGTTTGTTTTGGTTTAATATTTGTTGTTGCTTCAATGGTCAGAAAACACACACACATATACATAAGTTAAAATGTATCCTTTTTCATGTTGACAATTTTCAATTATTTTTTTGTTTTATAAATATATTTTCTATTTATATTTTGTTTATTTTTTTTTCTATTTAGTTAAAAATGTTTGCTTTTAAACCTTGTTGCTTTTTAAATTGTTTGTTCATTTTGTTTTATGGATTAGTTGACTAAAACTTTTAAAGCATTTTTTTATACTATTTTATTTTTGAGATTATTTGATTTGGTTATATATTTATATATGTATTTAATAATATTGGTATAAAAACTTTATATTTTATTTTTATCATTTCATTTGGTATAAAAAAATTGTACAAAAAGTTTGGTTTTATGTTGTTGTTTATCTTTGGTTTATCTCATTCCTATCAAAAACATTTACAAAAATTTTCAATTTAATAATAATAAAAAAAAAAACTTAAGAAAAACATTTTTAATATTATAAATAACTATACTTTTACCCAACAGGTTTTTATTATGGAAATTGCATTTATGACTTTCCGATAATTTAAAAGCACTTGAACAGGTATACATCTAATTTCTTTGAAATTTTGATTTTTTAGACCACTTCCGAAGTTGTTTGCATTAAAATTATTCAAAATTATAATAGAATTAAATATTCCTGCTAATCGTACCTATAAGGCCTCACATCTTTATAGTATTCTTGGTTAAGTAGTTAATTTTCTTATATCCTTCACCACCAACACCACCAAGGCTAATATGGGTAGGTGCAGTAAGCTCAGAATCAATTCTTTAGACGATTAAGCTATATATGTATGTATATCTGTCCGTCTGTGCGCATTCCAGAGGGAGCAATTTTCAAGATAATTTGATGAAATTTGGAACATACTTTTCCCTTAATCCAATAACGATTTTCGTAACGATCGGTGCTCATACAAAGTCTCCTTTTGAGAAGATTTTTTTTAATGTTGATGGCTTGTGTTATCATTCAATCCAGTCCATACAAATTTCGAAATTTAAAAATTACTTTAGAAGGATCAAAAAGGGGATATATTCCTTCCATCCATTGCATAAATTTGTTTCTATAAATGAAGAAGTCATTAGAGTTCTGACAACAGAAACATCTGATACTATGGGAGAGTGTGGCCCACAGGCCAATTGTCTGAGGTATATTCGGGGTTTACATAGTGGCTGTGATTGAAATCTAAATTGCAAGAAGACAATGTTGGTTAAAAGTCTAGTGTACGAGAAAAGTTTTGTGCAGTGCAACTGGATTCCTTACCAAATCGATTGTGGGATTACAAGTTAAGAATGAGTTAATAGCAAAACAATGGATCCGAGGAATGAGGATCTCACTCTACCCAGATGATTGTTTTAAATACCGCAACATTATGTTTGATTCTTTCCACAGTGCCAGTTCTGCTTACGAAATGTGATCCACTGGGCATATTCTATCATAATCAAGAATGGTGAGGTTCTTACCGATTTATCGTTTAGAAAAGATCAAGATCCTTAAGTGAAATATATGACAGAGATGTCAAATCAGAAATTAAATTGTATAAAACTGAATTGCTAGTTAAACTTTTTTCATTCGGTCTATTACACCGAATAAACAATACACTAGCATGTAGACTAGGCTAGCCTATAGATTAGACCAAATAAAGATTATTATTACAGTCAGGAAATACATTAAAGATTGTTTGAAATGTGTTAATGGTGTACCATTGTTCTTCTAAAGATCGGATTGTACCAAAAAACTAAAATATTTTCCAACCCTAATATACCGTATTCCTCTTCATGTCATGGTATGTATGTGTGTTTCGGATTTACTCACAAGTCTGTACTATCCCTATCATTAACAAATAGGAAAGTATAGTCGGACATGGCCTAAATATCTTGAAAATTGTGGCCTGTAGCTTGCGCAAAAGCTTTACATGAACACCCAGCCAGCCATCCAGCCGGACGGACGGACATGTCTTAATCGATTCAGAAAGTGGTTCTGAGTCTATCAGTATACTTTAAGGTCGGTAAAATACCAATATTTGTGTGCGTTACAAAATTCAGCACAAACGCATATTACCCTCCCTACTATAATGGTGTAGGGTATAAAAACGAAGTGTCCACTTATTGAAATATATCGTACTGCGATTTACCTATGCTTCTTGGTGCTGTTATCGAATCAACAGACCTCTTTCCATTATTGTTGTTGTACCGAACAGGAAGCAACGGTAATGCGATGGTCATAGAATACAAAGCATAAGTAATTGAGCAAAGTGCTTTTAGCCATGTACAAAAATTTTACCAGTCACACACGGTAGCTCAGAATTTGTTTTCTTTGGTCAAAATTCAGCATTTTTTGAACCGATAGATATATTTTTTGGTGGTTTCTCCTATTGAGAACTTTAAGGTCAAAGTATAACTTTTAATTTGTTTGCATTTAGTATAGGCAGATCTATGATATTCGTCATAAACAAGTTTTATAGGAATGGGTGCCCCGGTAGGCTAGTTGGTAGTATGCTATGGGGGTTGTGGGTTCGATTCCCGTCAGAGACTCTGGTCTGCTACACTACAACGGACGTATGGTCATAGACATCCTGCTCGGTAAATAAGGTTAGAATATAATTTGTAATTGTATTATAATGTACAAATAAATAAATAAATAAGTTTTATAGGAAATAAAATCTCCAAATTTTATTAGGATCGGTTGACAACTGAGCCTACTCCATAGACACAAGTATCCCTTCAGACAACTACTTCGGTAGCTAACACCATTCTGATGAAATTCAACATAAATAAGTTTTATAAGAACTGAAATCTCTCCATTAAATTTTATGAGAATTGCTCTATAATTGAATATACCCCCGAAATGTGGACCAGTGCTGGAAATTTTAAAAAATTTGGTAGTTAATTATGACCGTAACTTCTAGGAAACTAAAGAGAGCAAAAAATGTCCTACACTGTGTTATAGTTTGAACCCTCCCTTACACGTATATACTTCAATATATATTCGCCCGGTTCCGACCGATCAATTTTTCTTACCAAAATTCGGATATTTTGTGCAAAGTTTATGAATAAACAGCTAAACAGGTGGACCGATTTTCCTGATTATCTTCCTATAGTGTGGAAGAATAATAGCAACATTTTATTTTGCAATTTTAAATGGGCGATGTGCCACGCCCATATATCACATACGCATTAAATTTTGAATATATGAGAAACTTTAATAGCTTTAATCCTAAAATTTTGCTCTGAAAACGTTTGCATCTATATAAACATTTAAAGCAAAAACTACAGGCATTAGTGGGCGTGGCATTTCCAATATCAATCAAATATTAAAGTTCGCATATCTGGGAAACTGTAAAAGCTAGAGTGACCAAATTTTTTACTAGGGGGAAAATGGTCGGTGTAGAATTAGTGGACATGGCATATTAATCAAATATTACAATTTTTTATATTAGGGAAACTATAACTCAAAATTTGCATGATCAACTTTAACATCAATATAAGCAGTTAAAGGAAAAATAGACGAACTAGTGGGCGAAATAGTGGGCCTGGAATCTCCCATAATGTTGCTAACTCTACTTTTAAATATTGTTTCATAAATATAATAAATTTAAGACTTATGTATAAAATCTTCAATTTCCATAAATTTAAATATTTGATATCCTGTTATAGTACACACACACACATTTTCCTGTAACCTAGTGTATGTTTTTTACAGTTATAAGGGTAAAAGTATATAAAATAAAAACTAAAAGTTGAACAAAAAAGTAAAACTAAGGAAAACTTTTTAAAATTTCATTTCATTTTGCTTGCACTCTGCATTAAGGATGCGTGCCAAGGCAGTGGTAGTAAAAAGGATAAAATATTTTCATTGTTAGTTGTTGTTTGTTTGTTTTTGTATCTTATACATAAATAATTTTCAATATATACTTAACAATATTTATATATAAAAAAAAATACTTATAACAAAAAAGGGAAAATATATAAATTTTTTAAAAGTTCATTAGTTTTCTTGTTCATTAACAAAATTTATAAAAAAAATCTTTATATCTAAACGGGAGAAGGTTATATTAATTGTTAATAACAGTGCTTAATGTTAAAGTTTTTTTTTAATATTTTTTTTATAAATTGTTTAATATTTACTTTCATTAAGAGTACAAATATTGCAATAACAATAAATTTTTTGGTTTTTTTCTTGAAAAGCTAAAAAACAAAATTTTTTTAAAGAAGTTATTTTTTTTTTTTTATAAAAAAATCACACACAGATACAAATTTTCAGGGTTTATTTTATGGGTATTTTGTTAAAAAAATAATTATTATAAAATATTGTTGTTAACATTTATACTACTTACTAAAATTGTTGTTGTTTTTGTTGTTGATGTTTTCTATGCACTTATATTTTAGAATTTTGATTTAAAAACTTTTTATGCTTTTCGCTGTTTACGGATTCTTAAATCCTTAAGGAATTAAAAAACATTACTGCGCCTTTTGATTTGACTATCCTAAGATTTTTTGCCCTCAGCTCCGGAGGGACTTTTGCTGGCACGCGTTTTCTTTAGAAGAAAACAAGTAAGAAATTCAATGGATGAGGTGACTTTTTGCAAACTCTCCTCGGAAGAGGAATTATTGCCTTCGAGGCATTTGCTGTGCAAACGATAGCTCATATTGGGCTTTGTTTCTTTGGCTTTAGAGGCAGTTGCTGCTGTGGAACTCCTCGGTGGTAGGGGTGGCGGTTTTGATGTAGATGTTGATGCTGCTGTCGATAAAGCTGTGGCTGATGAAGTGCTGGGCTCAGCATGACGATAATAGTCCTTGCTGCACTTTTTGGAAATGTTATACAATTGCAAGGAATTGTCAATAATATCATCCTTTTCATTGTTTGAATTCAAAGCTGAAACATATTTTTGAGCTGCAGCACTGCCCAAACCTCCATCATTATCATGTTTTGGATTATCATGTTCATCATTGTCCTCTTCATCGCCTTCGGCTGGGGATTGTAGATTATTTTGTGGTTCACCATAGTAGCGATAGGTGGAACGATAGCGTGAATGATGACGTCCCTGCTCCTGTTCCATCCATTCGGTGCTGGCTGGCAAGGAGAGTTGTATGGTTGGCGTGCGATAGTATTGTCTATGAGGATGGAAACCCAAACCAAAATCATCCATATAATTTTGTGAGTTAAGGTTGTCTAGCTCATCGGCTACACTAAGGAGAAAGGGTAACGTTGACATGGTTTCCTTTTGTAGGGTTTGTCTGTAATTAGGATTTCCTCCAATTTTTACAAAATTTATGTTTAACTTTACAAAAAAAAAAGAAAGAAACACCAAACAAGTTTTATTTAAAAAATTAATGTAAATATTTCCCTTTGAAGATTATTGCTTCTCCTTCATTTAACTTTTGTTATTAAATTTTTCTTTTCTTGTCAAAATTTTCTGTTTTTTTTTCTTATATTTTTCTACTACATGTATTTAATATACACATAATATATGTTGATAGAAAAAGGACATGCACCATCACACACACATACACTTAATATTTTCCACAGATAGTTGCACAAAATTTTTATTTTGTTAACTGTTTTTTTCTTTTATTTTTCCACCGTCGATTTTGTCGGTTTTCAACCGTAAACGGTCTTAACACTTCGGTATTTTTTCATAGACTAAAATTGCAGTTTTATGCAAAAAAATCAGTAGGTATAGAACGAAAGACTGGACAAAAAAGGAAGAGAAGAAAATCGTATTTTTGTTTTGTTTTTTATTCGGAATTTACCGTTATGTGTACCGTGTATCTATAGAAAGTTATTGTTGGCTGTTGATTGTATTTGTTAATGGTATCTTATTTCTTAGTATTTGATGTTTGTTTACATTTTTCCTACGCTCTCACAGTTAGGATTTCTCTTTTACTCTCCATCTGGGATACTCATTTTGTTAGTGTTTCAGAAAAAATCAGACATATGTATTGCCAGATATGTTAATAGTAATAATGAATAGAAGTCTTTAGATTTTAGCGATGGATATTGGATATAGAGAAATTTTGGTTCTTTTAAAACTGGGGAGATTTTTGTTAGGGGATAACTGAATTCCTAGACCATTTTTTGAAATACCAAACAAACTATGTGGGGAATGTAAATGCAAATTTTCAGCTCTCGAATTTTTTCCTATAGGATAGTATTGTACTTTCAGACTGGCGGACCGATATGCGTAGATAGCCTTAGAATATAATAATCAGAATATTTCAGCGCCAATGTTGAATATACATATATACGTACATGTCACCAAGTTATATGGTGGAACCAGAAGGTTTCCATCCAAAGCGGTTACCAATAAGACTTATGGATTATTTCTGAAAGTGATTTAGGTACAAACAAGATCGTTCAAATACCAGATGCGCTGTCATGGATGGAGCTAATTTTTCGAGACTTAAACACACAAACTCGATCGATATTTTTCGGTTTCTTGATCAATTCTAAGGCAATGTAGCCATGTCCGTCTGTCTGAATGTATGCCGCACAGTGGTATAGAAATAAAAAGGGCAAATTGACCGATTGAAATTAAATTTTACATGTGCAATGAGGAAGCATCGTCGAGTTTAAGTTTAGTATTTGGACCTTGTGGGCTCATCAGGTGTTCTGTCAAAGGTTCTCAACTTAGGACACCTCGAGTATGTTAAATTTCCAAAACGATCGTATCTGTACTTATATATAAAAAATCTCCTCGTTTTAAAAATTGTATATACCGGATGTGCAGCCTTGATGGGCCCAAACCATTTCCTCTTTACGCATGTGAAATTTCATTAGAATGGGACGAACTCTTTAGAAGTTATAGAATTATTTCCTCCTATTTTATTTCTATACTACTGAGTGTCGATCTAACTCTTGAAATCATGACAAGTTCCCAGCTGAACGAGCGATTTCATAAAGCCTTCATACTAATGGCATCGGAATACAGTTTAAATACGGGGAATTTCATGTCAAGTACCAAACTCAAAAAACGATTTTGATGAAATTTGCACCAAGGTTAGTACTATTGGATAGTAGGAGACAATGAAGAAATAGCTATCTGAACTCCTTTGGACATTTTTTTATAGGACCAATAGGTGAAAAGTTACACTCATTTGAATAAAAGCCTGTATGACCAAAATGTCCAACTTTGACCACCTCTAAGTTCTGCAGTTACACAGAAAAAAATATGCACAATTTTTTTCTTAACAATCGTTTGCTTAAATTTAATTTCGATTTTTATAAATATTTTTATTTGGGTTTATAACGAATTTGTTTGATGTTCACACAGAAGGAAAATATTTTCTAACAAACACTTTATTGAAATAAATCTAACTTTCAGTAAATATTTTTACTGATTCAATAAATGTTTTTGTTTGAGTTTTATTTTTATGTCAGCATATAGAATACAACAATAAAACCAGTTTTGGAATGTACTAAAATGAATTGATATAATTCTTATATGGTTTATAACATTTAATGTATAAGTGTTTCAGTTTTCACAGTACAAAATAATAGTTTCTAGAATTAGAAACGTTTTCTTAAAAATGTTGTAAGTATATATGTAATTTCTTTACTACTTTTAGTTTTAAATATTTTTTGTAAAATTTTTGTTAAAATTTAGTATATATTTTTTAACAAAATTTTTATAGATTCAATAAAAAAATTTTGCTTATTATTATTGCCAAAATACAATAAATAATTTAACTGTTTCAGATAACATATTTGCTTGAATTTCAGTACAAATATTAATAACTTGTGTTATTGTTTCAGTAAAATAATTGTTTGGAAATGTTGCGATTATTTATTAATGTTTTTCGAAAATAGTATATTATTTTAATAAGAAAAATCCTGAAATTTTTTCAATAAAGAATTTACGAATTTGAGTACTTGATTTTACGAATTTCGTGATAGGTCCTATTTTAGTAAAAAAAATACTTGGCTTTATGAATTTTTTGTTTGATTTTGAATTCCATTTTTTTCTGTGTATTGACCAATACAGCTGGCCTACTATCTAATAGTACTAATCTTGGTGCAAATTTCATCCAAATCGGAAGACATCGATTTCAAAAGTTGGGTCATTTGACACGAAATGCCCCATACTGATAATTTGCACAAAATAGTTCTTTTCTCTTCTCGGATCAGCACTAAGGGCATGACAGGAAAAAGGCTTTAGGGTGAGGATGTTTGTGAACATTCGATTTAAATCTTCTTACATCGAAATCAGAAGAAGTTTGTTCCAAATAAAAAATGTCCATCTAAAGAATAATCTGGCTAATCGATTACAAATAGATGTGTTCTTGATGAAACATAATTGTTGGGTATCAGAAACAAGTTTCCTAAAAAAAATTCGACATGAAGAAACATTATAAAAACCAAAAATCTCTTTACGAATATCGGAATCGGGATACATTTGAATTTGACAGATTGGTGCATAGATTAGTCAACAGACTTCTCCGTTGTAGCTTAATAAAAAGACTAGTCCATAGATTTATCAAAACACGAATCCATAGTCTAGTTAAGAGATTAGTCAACACATAAGTTAGACTAATCAATAGATCATATATAGATTAGTCTAGAGTCTCGCTAATAGACTAGACAATAGCATAGTCCATATTTAGTCAACATGTTCTTGTCAATAGTCTACTTCACAGACAAGTCATTTGACTTGTTCATAGTCTTGTTAATCCATAGATTAACCCATAGAATAGTTAATAGTCCAATCTATAGACTAGTTCATATATTACCTAATAGACTATTCAAAAGACTATGCAATTGACTAACTGGGCAATACGTTTGTCAAAAAAAACTGGTCAATTCACTAGTCCATAGACTAGACTAGATCATAGTGTAGTTCCTAGACCATCTATTAGATTAGTCCATAGACTAGTTAATATGCAAGTCCACATACTAGTCAGTAGACTATACCATAGACTAGACCAGTACATGGACTATTTCATATGTTTGCCTAAAGACTAGTTAATATACTATCCCTAGTCTAGTCGTATACTATACGTAGTCTAGCATTGGACTGGTTCATAGTTAAGCCCATAGATTGTTCTATGGACTAGTTATAAGAATGGTCGCCACAAAAGTACACATATTTCTTTTCAACCCCAGAAAAAGAAAAATCTGGTAACCTTAGAAAAAATATACTACAACGCATATAGTGGCAAATATTTGCTATAACAATTATTTCTCTATCTGTTCACACTCTCTATATAAACATGCTCTCTCATCATCATCTCTCACGCATACACATATGCAAACACACAAACCTATAGTATAAGGATTATTGTGGTTACATTTCATTACTCACAACAACACGTGATGTAAACTTGAGATTTTTCCTTTTCTGTTTTGTGTATGTTCTTTTTCCGCTTACAGTGGGTCCTTTTTTTATTTTTTGTTTTTATTATTATTTTTCTGTTGTTTTTTTTTTTTTTTTTTTTCATACAAACATTTGTGTTACTAAGATTTTTTCAACACTTTTGTTTTGCTTCGTTGTCCTAGAGTTAACTGCAGCAATTGATGATGAACATTTTGTACATTTGGAATATATGTACACATGTATGTATATGTACATACTACTGCATCAAAACTCCTGCGCTACAATATTAATTGCAATTTTAAATACGTGTACAAAAATTCAGAGAAAAAGTAACACACCTCTTTCCCCAGTAACAAAAAGAAAGTGTAAAGGTTTTGCATTTTGTTGGCATTAGTAGGTGGTTGGGTGGTGTATTGTGTGCTTGTAGGGTCGACTGGATGGTTTGGTTGTTTTGAAATTGTTTACTTTGTTTTAATGTTCGCATCATTGCATTACTATGCCACATGGTGGCAGCAGCAGCTGTAGTACAAACGATTTATATTCACTACATTTCGATACAATAAGTCCGATGAGTAAATGTATTTGTATACATTGTGCAAGTACATATTTGTTTGTTTATAGTATTTTACTTGTGGGTATTTTCTCTTACTGTGTGCATAACAATTTTTTTCTGTTTAAGTTAATTCCTTCAAAAAACCCATTACCCTCTCATGTTTTCCTATTCAAGGGGGAGAAATATATTTTGTTTACACTTAGAAAATAAAATAATTTTTTTTTGTTATTTTTGAAAATCAAGGATCCGTAGGGCAAAATTTAAATTATTTTAAGAAGTTCGAGAACTTTTGAAACTTTATTACATTTTTACATCATTTTCTATTACAATCTAAAATGTTGTTCTCAATATTCGTTATTTTTATTTAATTATAAATTTTCTTTCTACAAATATATTTGTACATTCATGTGTAATTCGTAAATCCTTAATGTAGTTTTAATTAAAATGAAACAACATTGGCTTAGTATAAAAGCACTTTCAGCGTGCATTGAATTAAAACAAAAATAACACAGAAAAATCCTTGAGATTTTTGTGTTTTTTTCTCAGTTCGCCTGTTTTTGTGATACAAATTGGATTTCATGACAATATTTATTCAAGTGTTACGGAAAAGCCACAAAAAATGTGGAAAATAAATTTGTGTGTTCGTTAGAGTTGTATTGAAAGCGTTTATTTGGAAAACACTATGCGTCATGGATGCGTTGCACTGTGGGGTCAAATAAAACAAAATGTATTAACCCGGTACGTATAAGTATTGAAAAAATGTT